TTATTAAAAATATAAATAATAACTTTGATTTAATCAATCAACCAAATAGCATCATCCACATATAGTTATATTAAAATATATGTCAACTTTTATCATTTTTAATGTAAATTAATTATAAAAAAATATATTTATTTCATTTTTAATTTGTACCAATACAAAGCAAATTCTAAGACAAATGCTTTTTAAACTCCACTAAATGGTCATTAATTGCTTCTATTTACTTTTAGTATATCATTAGTATTTATTTCTAGCACGTTCAAGTTTTTTTATGATATTTTAATTGTTATAATGCTTTGATGATTTTCTTTAATCTCATTCATTTGAGTTAAAAATTTATTTACATATAACTTTTATATATGTATATAAAAGTTATATATAAATAAATAAATTATTAAAATTAATTTATTATTTATTTTATTTTTTAAAGATAATTAGTAATATTTTTATTTAAAAAAATTATGATAAATTTTAATTTTTTATAATAAAAAATAAATTATTAAAATTTTATATAAATAATTTATATAAAGTTACCAATAAATAGATGCTATCTCTTTATTTTTGAATAAAAGTATTTATTATCTTATGGACAGTGTGATCCACGCGCACAAGAAAAAAGTGAGGCTACCGTGCCCCACTTCACATTAACATATGATTTCACTGGAAGTAGAAAGTGAAATGGGCTACTATATATAGGTGGGTGGGGGTGGGGCTCTGCCACTCTTGGTTTGGTCCTCTCTCTCTTTATCAAAACTGAAATGGGCAGGCAACCGTGTTGTGACAAGCTTGGCGTCAAGAAGGGGTCGTGGACGGCGGAGGAGGACAGGAAACTCGTCAATTTCATCCTCACCCACGGCCACTGCTGCTGGCGTGCTGTCCCTAAGCTTGCTGGCTTACACCGATGTGGCAAGAGCTGCCGTCTCCGCTGGACTAACTACCTCCGCCCTGACTTGAAGCGAGGACTGCTTAATGAGGCCGAGGAGCAGCTCGTTATCGAACTCCACGCCCATCTTGGCAATAGGTCATCGATTTTTCTTTCTTTCTTTGTTTCTTTCTTTCCATTTTTTTTTTTCTTTTAAGAGTTCCATGATAGGAAGACTCCTACGACACTACACAATACTTTTTTTTAGTAACCACTTTATTTTTCCTTTTAGATATGAAAAAGAAATTGAAGAAAAACTAAAACTAAAACAAAACTGAACCTAATTACGTATATGAAGAAATTTAAGCTTGGTTGTTCTTCTTTAGGTGGTCGAAAATTGCGGCGAGATTGCCTGGAAGAACAGATAATGAGATCAAGAATCACTGGAACACACACATCAAGAAGAAGCTTATTAAGATGGGCATTGATCCAGTTACACATCAGCCACTCCAGAAATCTCCGGCGCCAGTGGTGGCAGAGGAGGTGGCAGCACCTAGTTCTGACAATCCTGACCATGATGGTGAGCCGTCCAAGGACAATTCTACCTCCTCAACAACTTTGGATCATCAGAATTCCTCCAACAATATTGTGGACTCGACGAATTTCATCTGGACAGAGGGTCTTCTTGATGACTTCTGTAACGTTGCGGACGCTAGGGAAGAGTATAGTACTGAGTTTGGATGGTCTTCACCGTCGGAGAACTCTTCATGGGTGTTGGACTACCAGAGTTACGGCGACGACACGAGTTTCAGCTACGATTTCTGGAATGAAGTTTGATATCAATGCTTTAGGCGGTGGTGGCAAGTAATAGCACATCGGTTTAGATTAGTCACATCTAATTAGTGTTGTAAAATTTTAAAAATACCAAACCGATGCATGCTTGTTCTCAAGATACCATAAAATGTTAATCTATGCCAACTCAATCAAGTTGTTGTTGGTTAAAGTCAAGTTGTAAATTAATAAGAGAATCATTTGAAGAAAGAAAGATGCGGAATAGAAGGCAAACTCCTTATTTACCCCATTTAATATTATTTATTTTCACTATCAACACTTCTTAAAATTTTTCTTCCCATCAACACCTTCTACTTTTTAAAACCAGCATTTTGCCCAACATTTAACGAAAAATGTCACATGTTGTCACGTGTACGTTGCCCTCCATTCGTTTTCTGCTTACTTGGCAGATATTAATGACATGGATACCCTTGTATGACATGCATCTTTTATTTTTCAAACGTGACAAATGAGTTAGAAAAAATAAAGTGGTGATATGAGAATAATTTTTTTGTATTATTTTTTTTAATATTTATAAATTATTATATAAGTGAATATATTTAATATTATAAATTTTAAATAAATAAAAAAATTAATTATTTAAATAACACATAAAAGTATATAAAAAAATGATATAAAAAATTATTTTTAAATTATTTTTTAAAAATAAAAAATGCATGTTGACATGGCATATAGATAAAATATATACTGCATGTGGGGCCCACACTCATTTTATTTTCCCTTTTCCTCATCCTCCCTCGCTATCCTCTTTTTCTCATGTCACCTCACTCTCTGCCTACTCTCATCTCACTAAGAAAGTCTATTGTATCTCGGAATATCACGTCGTCAGCAATATTATGTCAACAATATCCCAGTTAATTATGGTATATCATGTTAACAATTTTTTTTTTTTATCTCATTAATCATGACACCATTTTTCCACTTTAGTAGTATCTATTAATGAGGTGAAAAAAAAGAAGAAAAAAAGAAATAGCATTGGCTGTCATGATTTTGATTTGCAAATTTGAAATTTCGTGTGAATTTATTGATGGGTATAAGAAATTAAAAATTTGGGAATGGAGATTTTGCACGGTTTAGGAGAACTGGGAAAGATGAATATGATGAAGGTATATTTTGTAACTTTAAAGTCAAATGAAGGGGTAATTGGTCAATTAACAATTTTTTTTTTTTGAATGCATTTACAATTGAAAATAGAAATATTCGAAACCAATTCTTAAATTGAAGGGATTCAAATCTTAATTCTTGAACCAAAAAAATACACATCTCAACTCGACTTATAAACTTTAAGTTGTAAGATCTAGATGCAATTAACAAAATTTGTTTAGTTTTGGGTGAAACCCAGGGCCCATGTCATTTAAGAAGGGGAATAAAATGCCACACAAGTATAAATAGTTGCCACCTCATCAAAGTAATTCCATGTCAGCAAAAAAGAAACGGAAGGTTAACGGCACGTGAACTTTTGGGCTTTTCGTCTGTTTTTAAAACTTCAAGGTATTAACTGGAAAGAAAAATTTTAAAGAGTGATGACTGTAAAAACAAATAATATTAAGGGTATAAAAGACAGATTTGGCCTAATTTAAATCGAAGGATAAATTTTATTCTTCTTTGCTCTTCTTGGCTGCGTTCCACCAAACCGCAAAATTTCCTCCGTGGTGTCAATGGCTTTTTCAATGACATGCAAAGCTAGCCGAAATTTTAGACGACTTGTTGTTTGGGTAAGAATTATATAAGAGCTCGGAATATTAACAAGAGTATATTTGAATTAATACTTATTAATTTAAATTTTTTAATTTAAAATTAAAAAAAACAAATTTAAATATATAATTATGTATACAATATATACAAAGATTAACTGAATCAATTATGTTGTTATTATATTTTAATAATTAAATAAGACAAATATCTAAAGGTACATTGAATTAAAATATGTACTAATTATTTTTTATTAAAAAAAGAGTTCTAAATCACAAGAATTATCAAAATTGATGAAAATTTTCACATTTTATTAACTAATACTTCATGTAAAAAGAAATTACATGATTAATAAACACAATATTAGTTATTAAACATTAAAAATTAAAATAAATAACCGTAAATGCTAAGAGTCTACAACTAATAAGTTTATAGTTTCAAAAAAGTGTTGCGTCATATGAATTGTATTGATTAAATTATAAAATAAAAATTATTAGATGAGAGATAATTTTTATTGTAAGAAAATTTACCTCTCATCTAATATATAGTTTAAATTATGCAATTTAATGTAATTTAAGCTATACATGCATGCGAACACTTTTTTTTTTTTTAAGTAATTAATGTTTAGTGCTATTTGTCTAAAATTTTTTTCAAGTTTCGATATATAGTTCCAATAAATAATTCAACTAATTAAAATAAACTGATTTTTCTATAGCCTTTTCCACTGCAGCTTGTTGGAGTAGGAAAGAAGAAAGTGCATTGTCTTATATACGTTGGACAATATGTATAAACAAACCCCTCCTCGGTCATGCATCACCATAACAAACTAACCTCTCATGTATTACTGAATGGAAAGGTTACTTAATTTGGCCAAAGTTTTGAAGGAAAAGATTATTTCTATTTGAGATGGGTCGCTGTGCCATCACTTAGCTAAAAATGTGAGGAAAAATTGAAATTTGTGCCTCCACCCTCCATTTCTTTCTTGGATGCCGTATGGTGTGGGGATGGATATAATTTTGATTCCATTGTAGCAGCAGCAGTCGCAGGGGTTTCTAATTGCATTAGATGGTATAGAAAGAGATGTGCTACCAAAAAGGTCACAAACTTTTTTTTGGGAACAAGTTTTTTTGGTCTTTAATTTTAGATTGCACAATAAGAAATAATCCTTTTTATCCTTTAATTCATTTGATCTTTATGTTATGTAATTAGAATTTGAAATCTCTTACTTCTACTAAAAGAAATTATTACTAAATTATTTATATTATTGACTTTTTAGAAACAAGTTAAATGGTTCATTTAAAGCAAACCATGTCTCCACTTGGTTTAGCTAGCTACAGGGCAAAATAGTGGTAGGCACCACCTCTCGTGCTCGATTTTAAACCTTAGAGGTACACATTGCCATTGTCCCTCCTCCTTAGGCCTTAATTAATTTGTTTAAAATACTA